AAAGGCCAACCTGAATAGTGAGATAACACACATCAGTAAATGCTAGTGCACAACCACAATTATATAACTGTTCTGAAAATTTTAAAATTTCAATTGTGCTGTAGTCTCAACATAAAGTCTGAAGTCTAGACTCAGTGTCTGATTAAGTTTGTGCATATGTAGTTATGATATGATACTGTAGTGATCTGTCTGAACCAGAGGTGTTAAACTCATTTTTGTTCAAGGGCCACATACAGCTCAATTTGATCTCAAGTGGGCCGGCCCACATGCCCACAGCATGATAACCTATAAATATCAACCCCTTCAAATTTTTCTGTCACTCTGAAAACGTTCATCCATTTACCAAACACAGAAGAAAGATAAATTTTGTGCAAATTCATCAGTATGTCTCAGCTTTTCCACATTCAGTCCGACCACTACTCACTTTCATTACATGCAACTAAAGTGGAAGCTATTGAAGAAGCAGTTTAAGTCATCACCTGCCTTACAAACTATTTACAATCTGAAGTTTTGTCAGAGCCTCAGCAGCAGGATTCCACTAATATTGTTCTAAGACGGACGTCTGATCCAGACTCTTGTACTGAAGCTGCTGGTTGACAATATTTTGCACAATGTTCAATATCTTTAAATATGACCATAGAAAGGATGTATTGTTATTTCAGAGAGCTGAATTCTGGTCAGAGTGGAAAAGCCTCTGAGGCAGCATTTTACATGAAGTATCTGCTTACTGTTTAAACAGCTCCTGAAACTTCTCAGCCTTCACATGTACATCAACATTAGGTATGCAAAGTCATCTAGAGAGCTGGATTGGACCCTTTGGCGGGCTAGTTCCGGCCCCCGTTCTGGCCGCATGTTTGACACCCTTGAGGCCTGTACTACGAAGCAGGCATTGAAGTTAGCGAGGTAACTTCAGGGTTATTTCTGGTTTTCAGTACTAAAAAGCTGGTTCCGTGGCAACTTGAGGAGCTCCGGAGCAGGTTAACTTCAGAGTATCGGATCACAGGCTGTCAACATCCTGACCTCTGACCAATCAGAGCACTGACAAAAAGAGTATCCATGAACGAAAGTCCGGAGCGACAGCTAAAGAAGAGGAGCCTATATGCTGTTAAAGGTCAGTAGAATCACTTCATTGTTTCAGGGCTCTGTTTCCACTGGTTTTAAAACAGAGCTTTCAACGAACAGTGAGATTGTTTACACACAAGAACACATGGTTTTAGCACTATTTGAAATTATGCAAAGTTTATTTTAGTCAGCAGTGACAGTGCTGCTACTTTTACAGTCTGATTCCATCACTGCAGCTCAGAATAACACGAGACACCTACATGATGAGAACTAGGATAAAACAGATAATATTTTGTTAGTAAAATAATCCACACACTGTTAATCGGCTCCGGTTATTGTAAATGGCACATTTCAGTCAGATAGACGTCCTCAGTCATTAACTACTTTTTCATCTTTTACTTCAGTAGCAGTCTGGCATCACTTTAAAGTATTTTATGTGACATATTCAGAGTAGTTTCATCATCATCCAACTAAATAGCAAAAAATACTCTGTACTAATGTCACATAGACCCATAGCTCAGTGATACCTGCACATAATGTAAGTCTCAGATGACGGTGAATTTCTGGATAGTGTTTTTAATGTTTCTAGATTTTCCATTTTAAGATTACAGACTGTTGTTTACATCCCACACCACTGACATGTTACTGTCTCAGAGTGCTAGATACTTTCAGTACTGTTTCATCTCATATGATATGAAGCAGCTTACTTCGTTCGTGGTTTGCCTCTTTCACACGAACGCGCTTGTGGCTGGATAGGAAAACAGAGCTGACTGAACTAGTTGATAACCAGCTTTGTAGTACTTGTTAACCAGACAGCTAATGTTAGGGTTGATCAAACCAGATAATGAGAAGATATGCTAGGTAAGTTGAACTGGCTTCGTCGTACAGGCCTTGGGTCTAAACCCTTGCATGCCTTATGTTAGCTTTTAAACTGTAATAAAACATACCTGCACTCCACATCCTTTGCAAGCAGCCACAGATGATTGGATGACGGCCTCGAGCTCAGCAGCTTTAGTCCAGTGGCCCAGCCCAGCCCTACATACAGCACAAACAGGCTTCTGTGGACGCAAACACTCCTGCAAACAACTCTGGCAGAACCTGAAAGAGACGGGTGAGGAAATGTAAAGGTATGGGAAACGAGACAGAAACTGTGATCAATCGTTATTTGGCCTCTGGTATCTAGAAGGAGAAGCTGTTTACACATGTTCATACTATTTATAGGCTGCCACCAAAATAAACTATCAAAAAACCAGATGCTGTCATTTGCCGGAAGATCCCTGTAAAGCTCCGAACTAGATCTTCCTGTAAATCCGATGGAAAATCCCCACCTCAAGAGGGCGCAGGGACTTGTAGTCCTTTAAAGTGGTTATATGGGTCCAAGCAATGGATCTGTAAACTACATCTCCCAGGTGAGGCCGCCTCTTTGATGTAAACAAAACTGAAACTGATTTACCAAGCTGGCAATGGTTTTGCCGAATATCCAAGTAAGCAACAAAGAAATACACGGTCAAAACAACAGCAGGCACACGCGTGGTCGATGTTTTAGGACTCTGGTGGCACGACATGGTTAAAAACAAGCCTTTCCCCTCATTATTTTCACCCCGAACCGTTGCATCGCTGGTGGCAGACGTGGGTTGGGGGGTGAACAGTCGAAAAATAGGGCATAATACTCACGTATGGCCGCATTGTGTTGTGACGGGACTCTCGAAAATCTCGAGACAAACTGGACAAACGAATTCTGACACGTCGCCGCTCCCGTCAGAGATGTTTTTCTTCTGCTGTGTTGCACTAAGCCCTCCGAGCATCGCCATTTCTTTTCTTCACTGAGTCAGTCCCCCACCAACCGTCCTCGTAATGACGTCATCAGCTCCTGCGAGGGCGGAGTTATCTCAGAGCACAACACATGATAAGTTATTGTATTAAAACTGAGGACAAACAATTTAATTTAATTTAAATTTGCAATTTGTTTTTTTTTTCGATTAATCCACAAAATGCTTTTGTGCATGTAAAAGTAAAAAAAAATACCTCAAAATTATATCGTGACATATCATGTCTTGTCCAAACCTAATGTTATACAACACATAAATTCAGCAAATCATTACATTGGAAAAACTGGAAAATGTTTGATTTATTGCTTAAATAAAATAACAAAATAGTACGATTTATATTTAACTATTGTTTATTAAAAATATTGTGTATGGACTTGGAGTAGCCTATAAATGCATTCAAAGAAAGGTACACATAATGTCAAAATCAAAAAGGCGTTACGTTTTACCAGTGTTGGGAAAGTTACTTTTGAAATTTAATTGTTACCCTTTTAAAAATGTAATATGTAATGTAACTATCTTAATTACTTCATTAAAGTAATGTAACCTATTGCACTTGATTACTTTTTGATGACTTCCTTAACACGTGATAACATTTTTAAGATACTGTATTAAAACTGTGGACAACCATTTAACTGAGGGGAAGACAAGTTAATTAGGGCTGCAATTACTTTTTTTTTTAATTGATTTATCTGTTGTTGTTGTTGTTGTTGTTGTTTTTCAATTAATCCTCAAAATGCTAAATGTAAATGTAAAAAGTAAAAAACAAAAACAAAAAAAAACACCATAAAATGATATCTTGAAATATCATATAACTCATGAAATCAGCAAATCCTCACACCGGAAAAGCTGGAACAGGAAAATGTTTGACTCTATTGCTTAAATGACTTCAACTTTATGGATTCTCAAAATAGTAGGATTTAAATTAAACTATTGTTTAGTGAAAATATTGTATGGACTTGGAGTATAAATGCATTCAAAGAAAGGTAAACATGATGTCAAAAACAAAAAGGTGTCACTTGTTACCAGTGTTGGGAAGGTTACTGTTGAAATGTAATCGTTACCCAGTTAAAAATGCATTATGTAATGTAACTATTTTAATTATGCCATTAAAGTAATTCAGCTTATTGTATTTGATTACTTTTTGATTACTTCCCTAACACATGTTTATACTGGGCAATAACGCTAGAAAATTAATGTTTTATTCTACAGTTGAAGTAGAGTAGTAGAGTTCAGATGTATAAAGGTGAGTTTAGTTTATTCTCAGGGCTGTCATGTTATTCTACATGTAAACGTTTCACTAAAAATATTCAGATGTAACCCTTTTGTAATCACATACATTTGCTTAGTAACTGATTTAATTGCATATTTTTCTCAATAACTGTAACTGATAACAATTACATTTATTTTTTATTTAATTACATGTAACTAGTTACTCCCAATTACTGCTTATTGCAAAAATAGTTTCTCTATTCTGTTATTTACTGGACGTTATTGTCGTTGGATTTATATTAACCTGTAGAAATTGTAGCTAAAGAAAATTAATTAATCTGCGCATACACGTGCCGCTGAATGGACGACAGACTGCGCGCGTGAGCACATATATCGCCCTAAAAACACTGTACCATTGATAACTCACACACATTGAACACTGACGGTGATGTAGTCGGTGGGCTCTGCATCCCTCCCTCCTCCTCCTCCTCCTCCTCTCCTCCTCCTCCTCCTCCTCCGGCTCCTCTCAAACAGCACGTGGGCCCCTGATGCTGATGAACTGTCAGAACCGAGCGCATGCGCGTTGCGATGATGGGAATTTCCAACAGCTGAGGAGGCGTAGCTAGCCACGGCTAGCACTTGTTAAAGGTAAGATGTGTTGGCGGTGGTGTTAAGAAAACGGCGTGGTCTCTTAGCTGAAGCAGAATTAGACCTGGTCGCACTAGAGTCGTGTCACAATGACGGTATATGTTCAGGAAATGATCTCTAATATGCCAAAGATTTCTATCTAGCGATAGACCGCCCTGCCAGCTAGAGCAATTGTTAGCTAGCCAGCTGCGCTGAAATGGGCGTTCACTGCTTAGCCTGGACTCAGTTGGGGGCCCATGTCAGTGACAGCAGCGGGGTTTAAGGGTTTGAGATTCACGGAGAATTGACGTATATGCTGTCCTCAGGGCGTATGTCTTATTATCAGCATTGGTCGTGACGGAGCGATTCTGTAACAGGTGATGCGCAATAGTAATGGTGATGTTGTTAGCTAAGGCATGCTGCTTGCTAGCTCGCTAAACGGGTGCTCGCTAAGGTTGGTGTGTGTGAGGTAACTGGAATAGTCGGCCAGCTTGCTTGGGAACGAGGAACAGAACCACTCAAGTGCTGTGCTGTAAGTTTCACGGCAGATTTTAGTCTTACAAATATCCACATTAGCACATGCGCATGTCTTATATAGCGCCAGTAATGTGAGCGAGCTGAAGCTAAATGCAGGCTAACATGGTTTATACGCATGTTGTACCGCTGGCTCACACATTCACTGGCGCAAACAGGCGCGCAAGACAAAAGGAATATGTCTGTTAAAAGTGAGTCCACGTCCTGGTTCTGCACACTGTATTTCCTGTAGTCTTTCACTTGTTTACGTACATCGTGATAATGATCTGTCAGTCCAACCTATTTGCTATACAACCGACATAGAGTAGCCCACTTCATAGCACAGGCACTGTTTCTCAAAATAGTGATGCTTATTCTCCCCTTCTCTTGTCTGAATCATTATATTTTAAAAATACTCTTCTTGATGATCATTACAAATGTACATTCGTGTGGACTGAACTAACACTGTAGATATGTGACCCAAGTTTCCTTCTTTATTTGTGTGTGTCAGGATGAGAGATCTCCATTTTCATAAAGCTTTCCTGTGTCATTACAGCTCGGAGACGGCTCAGAAAAATCACACGATCATGAACATGTCATCATGATAAGTGACCTTGAACTCTGCACATGCTGAAACCAATGAGTGGAAAAGATACATCTCTGCAGTGACCGAGCGTGAAGCAAAAGCTCCTTCTGACCTCATCTTGCACGACATAGGCCTGTTTGTCTTGAAACAAGTCAGGCTTTGAGCCAATACCAGAGATGCCCGTGAGAAGGCATCCCTACAGGCTGCCGCCTAGCTATGCCAACTGAAAGCACCAGACAACTGCATCTCTTGTTTAAAAGGATGTACTGCTGATTGGATGCAAAATCTCATTCCTCTTCCACCTCTCCAAAACATTATTCACGTTGAGTGTGTGCCAGCGTGTACAGTGAATTATGGTGACCAAAAATGGTGCTTGAATGTGGCATCCTGGTGCAGAGTATGCTAAAAGGGGTGAGGCTCTCTCAGAAAAGTATAACAGCCGACTGATAGTCTGCTGCCGATAATGGATGCCAAGTTAAAAGAGGACCTGTTTCGAAGGTATGTGACGGCACTGGAGAGGCGTCTGGAGGATGGAGAGGAACACACAGGGATTGGAACTGCACCAGAGGGGGACAGAGGGAGACACAAGGACAGTGAGGCCCTACTCTCCACAGCCACAGCTCTGCTAGGAGCCTACCAGCCAGATCCAGGACAGCGTTTCCGGATGGTGCGCTTCTATGAAGTGGTGGAGAATTCTCTCCGCTGCCAGAGAGGGGGCAACATCAAGAGCTTGGAGAGAGCCTTCCACACACTGGAAACCATCTGCACCAACCTCCTGCTCTTCCCCTGGAAGAAGGAGTTCAGATGTATAAAGGTGAGTTTAGCATATTCTCAGGGTGGTCATGTTATTCTAACTTATAGCTGTGTTTACAGCCGAAACCCAAATGTTCATCTTGACAGAATAAGCCATCAGCCTCCAATATCAGTTTTTTCCAGAGTGTTTATTCACTATAGAATCCCCAATCTCTGTGTAAGCAGTTTCAAAATGAGTATTCAAGTGAATACCTTAACTACACAGCCACTTTCAGAGGAAATATTATTTTTGTTTCTTTGATTTAATTTGTTGAAGTTTGGAGTGCAGCTTTTAGATTTGAATAAAAACAAGTGTCTCATGCACAGGCAGAAAGAGACAGGTTATCCTACTGTGAATTATCACTTCAAAGATCCACCACAGAGTCCACCAAATGTTTTCCATGCTAGTTTGTACAGACAGTATACATTAATATCTTTTATGACATCGATGTGGAAACAAGCTTTTGTCACATCTTAGTGCCTCTATTGTTGTAGGTGTGCCACTCATCACAACTGCAGGGATCTTTGAGCAATTATATATATAGTAAAGGCAATACAGTGTAAATGTAATGTCAGTTCTTTGTCTACATTGTTGACCAGTATCTGATACCTGACTGTTATAAAGGATACAGTAACATAAGTCTACCCAACATCAGCAACTGACTCATTAACTTATTTATTGTTTAGTTTGAGTATTTATTGTCCACTTATAACACCATGCAGTTTATTTTAACCTTTTTTTGTATTTATATATTTTTTACACCACATAGTTTTTATGTGTAAACCAAAATTGAAAATACTGGATCTGAACCCGCTACTCTCTCTACATTGCTTGTCCTGTATTCAAACTCTACTTTCAAACATCTGTACATGAGGTAATATTTGCTAATGCTGTTAAAAGTGTTAAATCTGTAATGTTGGTAAACTCAGTAGCTAAATCAACCTATACTTTGACCTACAAGCTATCAGAGGAAAGCATGTAGATATTAGCTTTCTTATGCAAGACAATTTCAATTGACTGACACTAATGCTAATTAACCCATTTCTCTTTTAGACCTTCACTGGCCCATATGTGTACCATCTGCAGTCTGCCATTTCTGATGCTGAACTCCGAACTCTAATGCGCACCATCGGCTACGCCTGTGACCATGACTCGCAGTTCCATTTGCAGGAGCACCCAGGAGGCGCAAATCATCTCCGGCAGTTGGCATTTGAACTCTTCCTGGCCCAGGCAGAGTGTCGTCTTCTGGGAGAGGTAGTGGCTCTGGCCCGTGGTTCGGCCTCAGAGCTGGAGGCCCTGGAGCTCCGCAGAGGTTGCAGAGATGATGCAGCTGGCTGTGCCGAGGCACTCCGCAGACGCGACAGCCTTGGGGCGGATATGGCTCGGCTGTCTGTGCGGCCGGTGGATATAGAGAGGCCTCATGCCCACCACCTGAGGCGAGGAAGCCGACCGTCTAAGTCTGTGGATGTTACAGATGGGGCTGGTCACTGGCACGCAGCGGTTACTAAGCCTGTCTTGAAGGCCTCATTGAGTCTGCGGAAGGAGCCTCTGTTTGTGGATGCGGAAGAGGATATGAAGGACGAAATCATCAGGCCCAGCACCTCAGCATCTCTCTTCTCTGTGGCAGCTCCACCTTCCTACAGCCCTGTTGCAGATTTCTTCCCAATTCAGTCACCTCCCCCTGCTGATGCTTACACATCCTACCACCTGTCCTCTTTGGATGAGATTGACCTGTACACAGAGAGGGGTGTTGGGACGGGAGGAAGGCAGACCCCCTCTCGACCTCCATCCAGAGAGCCTCGGGATGCAAGGGATGCATGGCTGCTAAAAGCTCATGGTAGTGTGAAGTGTCAGGGCTGTGGGCTGGGCTGCTCCTCTATGGCCTCCTGCCAGAGGTGTGACATGATCCTCTGTGCTGCCTGTCACGATGTGGACCCCTCCCCTTGCTGTGGCCTCCAAGACTACCACCCCAAATCCCCACGACCCCTTGATGGATACATTCCTGTCAAGGAAAAGCTCTCTGTCTACTCAAATACTCACTCCCACTCCCATCTCCATCCGCACCCCCTGACACTGACCCACTCACACTCTCACCCCCACCCTCATCCCCAGATGGTGGAGAAACCCCTCATGTCCACTAAGCTGTTTGCAAGCAAATCTGTTGCCTTGACAACGCCAAAGGGAGGCAGCAGTGAGCGACTAAGCATGGGTGGATCGCGATGCGGGTTTTGCAACAAGCCAGGGGCATCACACACCTGTGTGAACTGCTCTAAGGTGTCATGTGACTCGTGCATGGGCTTGTATGCAAAGGATATTTGCACGCGAAAGAATCCCCAGCACAGCTTTGTGCCCAACCATCAGCTTAACTTCAAATCCGGCACCATATCTCACCTGGTGTACCGATGAATCAGGCAGACAGAATACGTTTCTCCCTTCTAGTCCTTTCCCTCAACCCGCTGCATAGTCTTGCACTATTGCTTTAGCTCTGTTCCCGTTTAAACAGCTCATTCACTAGCTTCCCCTTTATCTGATGGTCTTTTGCTCTCTAACCCTCTCTTGAACTTTGTACATTTTCTCTTACTGTCAGTAGGGCCCTGGAATGCACATGCCACAGAGAGCCATATCGTCTGCCCATCTCTCTGCCTTGTACAAGTTCAGGCCTTTATCTATTTCTTCTTCCTTTTACCTTGCTACCTGCTCTTGAGTAGTCATGTGATGTTGTAGCGCTTCCCCAATTCCTCAAATTTTGTCCTCCTCAAAAGGGAAACTGGAGAAAAGGGAGTTTAATTCCTTCTCATTTTGAATGAATTCCGTCCAAATGAACATATATACTTTACCTAACTTCTCAGCTAAAAATTCCTCTAATATATATAAATATATATATATATATATATATATACAGTATATATGTGTGTGTGAGAGAGAGAGTGTGGGTGTGTGCGCGCGCGTGTGTGTCTAGAGAAGACCTCTGAGCTTGCATTGTGACACAGGAGATCTTTTTAAACTTGAAGAATAGTAGGGAAAAACAGAGAAAACATACACTGGAAGTCAATAAGTCAATAGTATATATTTTTAATCTCTATTCTCTAGAACAATGTGAGACTGTTAAATGGGCATGAGGTCTGGCATTGGGATTTTTGGGGTATAAAGTTATGTTTGTGGGTGCGGGGTGGGATATATCTCAAAGAGACATATTGAGACAATGGTCAGATGCCATATATTCTATTTAAAAGATTATGCCTTGTAAATTAACCCTCAATTGTTTCTGGTTATGTGACTGAGGTTTCAATGCTGCTGTTGACTTGAGACATTGAAGATGTGTGGCGTTAACTTCTTTCTGGTAAATAGCCTGTTGAGTTGTGTCAGTTCCAAGTCCCCCCCCCCCCCCCCCCACCCCTCCTCCTCGTTCCCTTTCATTACACTCCTTAAGCCGCCATAGTCCATGATGTTGTAGTTCACCCTTACCAGATCAGTCATTCCCTGTCAGTCTCAGGTGGCGTCACAGGAAGTCTCACGCTGGGCCACAAATCAAGTGATAACGGTTCTCTGACAGTGTGTGAGCCTATCGATCGATCTTAGACAGTATGAAAGTGTATACTCTGACACGGTTTCTGTCTACCTCAAATGGCTTCAGCTTGTACACCTAGTTTGACATTGTGGTTTCAAACTAGCCCGACTGGTGTTTTAGCTGAATAGAAAACATCTCCTCTTACAATGATCTGATTTAGTCACTTTTAAAGGTTAGCAGAGGTTAATCATTTAACGAGATAATCCCGGGCTTTGTCATCTGAACGACGGAACAAGGTTTTCTGTCTGGTAGCTGTTTACAGTGTCTGTATGCGCAGGATGTGGACACAAAAACATGAACACCTGTGGATTATAAATCAATTCAATACAATGGCACTGTTGTGAAGCTCAAACTGTAAAGGATGTTTGAAACGGTCAGAAAGGTGCTGATAGTTTCATGGCAATTACTGAACCTGGAAGTTGTGGTAGAGTACTGGATTGCACTGCAAAGTAAAGCTAAATTCACACTACATGACTTTCAAAATTCTCAGAGCGCCATACTGTTCACACTACATAACTTGCTGTCCTGTAATCAGCAGTCTTGAAGTCATTATGCTTTTCACATTATATGGGGGTCACACACTACAAGATATTTCACTAGGAGAAATCCCCAATGAGTGTCATGGGTCGACCCACAACCTGGGGTTGGTGGGATGCTTACTCAAACTATCAAAGTCAAAAAGTGGCAAAATCCCTGACAGGTTGAGATATTTAGGGTGCTAGATATCTGGTAAGCATCTGCGGCGCATCGACGGTTCACGCATACAATGAGCGCCGAGCCAACGCTGATTTGCTTATGATCTGGGGCTTTTGTTGGAGAGCTCCAAAAACCTGTCAGTGAGCCGAAAATCAGGGATAAAGTCGTGTAGTGTGAACGAGTCATTAGTCGTCTCTGTTTTTTCACCATTGACAAAAGACAGAAACCACTTATAATATGTTGCAGTTCAGTACAACACCCCCTCAGACTGTGGGCTCACAGAGATGAACAGATGCCTTTCTGATACAAAGTTAATCACATTTAAGATAAGAAAAGACTTAATTAATCCCATATTGGGAAATTGACGCATTACAGCAGCTTAACAGTCAGAAGCAAGAAAAAAAGAAAGCGATATGCAAGTTAGATCAAATTAAAAAGTAAAATACAAAATCTATGTCCACCATTCATAGTTGCAATATAGTTATTGTTGCTATTTATTACATGGCGATTGCACTATACTGTCACAGGGATTCATGTTGTGTCTACCTGCTTGTACAGCGCAGTTTTCGCCAATGTGTAAAGTTACTTTTTTAAGACCCTGACAGCCCTCTTTAAGGCCCTTGATTTGGAGTGATTTGGTGCATGAGGTTAGCTGGCGTTTCCTCAAGCAAGCCACTGCCATTTGCTGTGGACATTTCATTAAACTCATTTATAGATATACTTTAAAGGGCTGGGGTTGTCGTGGGTAAGTAAACTCTGCTAACATGTAAACCATCATAAATTTAGATGGTACCTTTAGTGATTAGGCTCCGATTCTCCATGTAAGATGCTGTATATTGCAGCTGATAGTCACCAAGGGCTAATTTTAAATCACATTTCATATTATGTAAAAGTCTGGGTTATTTTGACCGAGCGTTGAGGCAACACAAGCCTTCACGTTCTGTCAGGAATAACCTCTAAATGCCTTAAGCTCATTTATATGTCTTATCAAGTACTTTGAGTTTTGTTGTCATTGACATTGTTTCATGTCTTACCAGCCTGTAGGTTAAACATTAACACGGTTTTGCCAGCTACATGTACTAAATACATAGCTTGATCTGTGACAACTAAGGACGGAGTTCAGAGTGATTCAGAAATACAGACGACTATGGATTAACTACAACACAGGGTGTGTAAGACGGAGCGTATTGAACCATGCATATTAACAGAGTTATGCAGCAACTCGCACATTGTAGACCAATATATACACTATGTTCTTACAGGGGTTGATGTCTGTAATAGTAACCATGTTTTGCCTGGAAGGAATTTTGTTTTGCTTACAGATATTACCTGAACACACGCTTGGTTACAGGGAATGATGTCTGATCTCATGCTTCTGTTCATTCCTTCCCTTTAAAATTATTTTTTTTGTCTTTGTCATGTTAAATAACATAAAGAAGGGATCTTTTGATACCGTTTGCATGTAGCTTAAGGATTCTGTAAGAGATGTTCTTGGGTCAACGTTAGCTAATCACAGAAGTCTTGATTGACCTTAGGGGAGGTGTGCAATCGTTCTGTTTTTCATTGAATGAAGCCTTTCGAAATACTTTGAATATTTATCATAGATATATTTCCATTGAGTCTGTTCATCGCAAATCATACCAGCAACTAAGATGACTTTCCGAAGTATTGAGCCATGTTGCAAGAGTGATCATATTGCCAAATGAAGAACAAATATTGGAGTAGAAAACAAAATCCTGTCGCTCGCCCAGATGTACAGTTAATGTAACATAAATCTGTGGTTCTGCTAAAGTTAAGTGTCTGTAGATGTTGGCCTTTTAAAGAAGCCTAGAAAGAGAATCATCAACATAGACACCTACTCGCACACCATGGGACGTGGATTTGACTCGGATCAGCTGACTGATCATTTGTGTAGGTCACTACAAAGGGCTAAACAGTCTTCAGGGCTGCTGCTAAGTTTGTGGGCACTGTTTTAATCTTTTAGAGAACAACTGACTTGTCGTAGGCGAATATCTAACGTGGAGCTCACTTTACATTCATCAGTGGATGTGAATAACTGATGTTGGGAAGAAAAGAAAACAAAAGAGCTATTTTTATTTAGTGTCATGGAATACATTGAGCCATTTGAACATGATTGGTTTAACCCACACCAGACACACTCAAGTCATTGTGGAAGTCAATACTCCCTTTACCTCTTTGTGTGGTTATCTTACTGATGTTAACAGTGGTGTTGTAGTTAGGCAGCCCCTTTACCATTCCCTATTTCCCTAACCCTTTCTTGGCATGCTCTGTACAAGGCCCAAACCCATACCTCTTCTCCCTCTTCTCCCACTGTCTCCCCTCTCTCCCCCTCCCCCCCTCCACCTTGGCACTGAGGATCATTGCACAATGTCTATGTGAAGGGGTATGGACCTTACGATCAATATGTGGGCATACATGGGGGTGGAAAGGGAAAATAGCCAAAATTGTTAATCGGTAAAAATATATATATATATACATATATATATTGAAACGTAAATGAGATTTTATAAAATAATTTAAAGAATAAAATTCTGAAAAAAAAAAAAAAAAAAATTCTGCCTTGAGTTTTTGAGTGATTTCAGCTTGGTATGTTGCGTTGTTGAGCTGTTGACTTATGTGTGGGAAAAATCAATATTAAACTAGTGATTCATTTAGTACTGTTCTCCATCTAATATCTTCATTAAGTGTTTCCAATTTCCCCCTGGGGATCGATGAAGTATTCAGAGTCTGAGTCTGGATTCAAAGAGCTTTTGTGTCTCTGACAGTAACTAACATACTTATTTATCACAAGCCTGTTTCCCCTATCTTCCATGCTGTTACTTTGATATGTTCTATCTGTCCGTTTTCAACTCTCCTGTATAACTCTCACTTTGCACCAGCATATGTTGAGCTTCCAGACTGCCCAGTTCTGCATGGGTTGGTTTTCCCTATTTGACCAGCAGGTGGTGATAAATACCCATATATGGAGAGACTGAGGCTGCATGAAGTGCACCAACAAATACTTTTTAACTTAAAATATATGTGTTTAAGAGTAGGATTTTACTGGATTCAAGTCCTTAGTTGGGTCTACATTAGTATTATATCCATATGAGTTATTTTTATGAGCAACTGTTTGCTGTTAAATAAAATTAATTTTTTTTTACCCATCATCTGACATGGAAATCTAAGCAAAGGCAACAACAGAGTAAAATAATAATAATAATGCATTTTATTTAGGTGTCTTTCAGAGTACTCAAGGACACCTTACAAGACAGTTTAAAAAAACAAAAACAATTCAGCAATATACAATAAAAGTTGTTCAAATGACTACGCAAAATCTTAATTACAAATATTAGGTATAAAATCGTAGTGCAAGACTCAATGTGTGTGTCACCATTAAATCAGACCGAATATGCCGTCTTGAAAAGGTGAGTTTTCAGACAGGGTTTGAAAGTTGAAAGGGAGTCAATATTGCGAGGGTCGTGGGGGAGAGAGTCCCAGAGGTGGGGAGCAGAACGGCTGAAGGCTCTAGAACCAATGGTAGCCAAATGGTCAGATGGTGATGTGAGTTGGATTGCAGAAGAGGATCTAAGGGTGTTTTCACATTTAGTCCTTTTTAAACAAACCAAACTCAGTCCTCCTTAAAGTATACCAAAAAGTGGACCACCAGAAAAAAGACTCAGTTCTCTTTCTGGTCAACTTCAGCTCTGATGGGGCCTCTTTCTGTTCAAACTATAGCCTATATATGATGTGGTTTATTTTTTTTGCCTTGATGTGGCACTGTAGTGCGGTTATGAAGCCCCTCACTTTCAGATGAACTTAAAATTGGAGGAAAACCTTAGTGTTTCTGTGCTGTTGACTGTCGCCATTGGATGTATTCTACATTCCACATCTGGGGACGTGCAGTATCTTCCGTGGACCAAACCACTCTGTGTCCTGCGTCCTTGCAAGCATAACAGGCTGACATGGTTTTGTCAGTTTTTTCAAGCGTCCCAGTGCAATAGCATGTGATCTAGAGGACTAAATACAGTGGCAAAGAGCAAAGCAACCTGGAATGCTTTGTGTTCACAAGGCACAAGTTAAGTGAACCACACTGCAGACTTGAAGCGAACTGAACTCACAACCTCGGGAGGTCTTAGTTCGGACCTCCCGAGGTTGTGTGAGTTACTTTCACCTCAGAGGGGTCTGAGTTCTCTTGGAGTGTTCACATTTGTGCAAAAAATGCTGAGTCACAGCTCCAAGTCCACGTAGAGGACTGAAAAGGACAAGTGTGAAAACACCCTAATAGTACAGGAGGGTGTGTAGATATGAAGGAGTTCGGACAGGTATGAAGGGGCTTGATTATGAAGGGTCTTAAAGGTGAGGAGCAGAATCTTGCAATCGATGCGATATTTAACAGGAAGCCAGTGAAGCTGCTGGAGAACAGGAGTGATATGATCTATGGAGGGGGTTCTGGTAATGATACAGGTGGCTGAATTCTGGACCAGCTGGAGTTTATGAAGACACTTGAGAGAGAGAGACCAAAGAGGACAGACTGTAACCAAAGAATGGACGAGGGTAGCAGCACTCTGAGGTGTAAGTGATGGTGAACTAGAAGCAGCTCCTTTCCTCTGCATGTCACGCCCCTCTGTTTTTCACACTGTCTGTTTCATGACATATTGAATAGTCTTGGGTCAAGGCAACACTTTGGATGCTTAACAAGGCAAGGAGAAGATAGAATGTAAATGTGGTACTGTAGGTTACAAGTTAGAATTGGCCAAGACAGTCACTGATCACATTTTACAGCAATAAAACAGGGTGCAAAGTCGTGTGGTGCATTTTCAAATGGTTATCTCTGTTATGAACACAACAAATGCACATACACAGTAAACCAAATGAGGAAAGGGTAATCGGACGCTCTGACCTTGAGTGCCATGGAACAATATCTGAGATAATAACTGAAGGGCTTAATACAGAGTGTCCACATGAGCAGGATTTAAAATTACCATCCTACAAAAGATCCTGGTAACTTCCTGAGATGATACAGATTTTTGATTATGTAGGATCGTAGGTTGTGACTTGGATTCCTCACTGCCACTAATAGAAGCTCAGGTGGAACTGCTTTTTATATTTAGAGTCCCACATGACAAAACCTCATTTAGCTTTTATCTACACATCCACATGGTTGGTGTGATTTATCAGCTCCAAGAGGATCATTTTAGGAATGGACACCTGCTTAGGATAAACTTTCAGATGCTTGTTTTGGCTCACGGTTCTTAAGCAAATGAGATCTGGAGCCTGGCGCCCGTCACTGCTCTAAATAAGCTTCCATATTGGGTATAATGATTGGATCAGTGTCTGGACTTTGTGCTTGCCTCCAAATAACTAATGTTAGGTATGGAATAGCTGCAGCTGAGATTATCCACAAGAGGGGAGTAGCAGAGATGGACATCAGCGGGGAATTCTGCAGAGACTAAAATGCTGAGTGAGTGTCCCTGCACCCTGCACCATCCTGTCCTCTGGGGCATGACAGGACTGTGCTGACTAACAGCCTTTACCAGCCTTGAGGGAGCCCGGGACATACTAAGTAACACACATTGCTGTTCAGCAGGAGAGAAGGATAATGACTAATGGCACACTGCTTAGCCTTTGAATAAATCCACTACCAGCAGTAGCATTAAGTAGCACAAAATGCATTAAGTAATGTATTTACATGTGTTGTATTCTCTAATGTATGTGTTTGAGTTTTCCCAAATCTGCCTCCAGTTTATTCCAATTTTTTCCTCATTTATTCAGCCATTTCCACGGTGACGTTCAACCATAACTGCTGGAGAAAATGGACCGATGCCGAGAATTGTGCATCTTGGGGTTGCAGGTGCAGAAACCCCACAGCAGCTGGTCATTATCCGAGGGAGGTGAGCACCGGTTTTAATGGACTATGTTTAAGCGTGTCACTGCTTATGAGGGCAGTAACAGAAACACACTGCACTTTATGTTATGTAGCCTACTTCCACCCACATACCATGGCACATTACTTAACACTGCACCTACACACAGTATAAGTCACACCTGCACACAGACACACACATGCATCTGTGACAAGACTTGTGTGAACAAGGTGGGCGGCACTTGGAGGACCAGTTGTTATAGAGGGGAGTCAGAGACCTGTGTGTGTCAGAGATGAGATTTTGTCTTGTGTAAGGCTTTTGTTACTGGTTAATTACATGTCAGAGGAGAGTCGTGACGCCGTCTCTCCTTGTGTGTCACTTGAAGGGCTTTTCTCTCTGTCTCTCCCCTCCCCCTGCTCCGCACATGATTTGTTATCTCGGCAGTTGATTAACACATACATTCAATAAATGCATGCGCAACATTTCACTCTCAGTAATTAATTATGTTAAATGGCACTCTTTGATGGAGAAAAAAGCATTTTATCTGGTGTCCTCTGCCAGAGTTGGAGCTTGTTCAATATCCGAGAGTCAACAAATATTTGACTGTAAACACACATACTGTATAAATGCAGAGGCAGGCACTTAGCCACCTATTATCTGTGCTTACTCTGGCTCTTGTCTTCTCAAGACAAATATTATAATAGGGGTCCTTGCACAGTCTCATAAATATTCTATTACCACACCACGTAATTGCCTGCGGCTAATGTGTGTTTTGTGATTTATAATTAAAGGTGTCATCACCTCAACCTTCCCTTCAAGTTTGAAACGTCATCCTGCTGACGTCCTTGCCATTACAGCGCTTCAGTTCATCACCAGAGTGAACATTTTTATGTTTACTGTCTTTAAATATTTTGTGACACAAAGTTTATTAGAGATTCAGATTCTCTATACAATATCAATAGTTCAACAAAATAAAATCTACCACAAATTACACATTTAAACAGCTCCTAAATACAAAAAATGTCCCCTGGGATCTATATATATATATTAACAAGTGATTTCCTTCTTTTAGCAAAATCCTAAATGACTGAGTTGTTTTTTTCCACCTGGACCTTTATGCTCTGCCATTTCTCCTCTAATCATCACGCTGTAACCTGTGGCAGGCTGTCATGATACCAGAGCTATTGCACAGTCCCATATATGTAACCTCACATACATTACCAAAGGTTTATGACAAAATCACTTGACGACACAGACTCCCGTGTCTGGATTAGAAAGAAATGGGCAAAAGGAGGGAAATGGAGACTGGCTAACAACAAGGGTGTGGAGGGTGGAGTAAACAAGACTAATACAGAACAGGTGTGAAGGGAAGACTCTGGGAACAGGGAAGGACTAATGAGACAGGTGTGACAGAAAACAGGCGGGAAAACATTCAGAGATGGGAAGTAAAACCAGACACGACACAAGGAGAGAATCTACAAGATAAAACCGGAAGCAGATTAAACATGAATGTTTTTTGCCTTGGGTAACAGTATGACTTCAATATGTCAACACATTAAGATACTGCGAGTATCACCATATGAATTTTTCATATTAAGAATTATATCAGTATTATCGTGAACAAGATGATATGGCACACCCTTACGAGTAAGTACATAGAAAGCAGTGTACTGAGGGTTGTGATAGGGGTGATTGTAATACATGTTG